TTCTGGGAACCCATCTGATATGGATCCAGTAGGGCCCAAAAGGTGACTCAGTGGGAAAGTCAACAGGTGTGTTTTACCATTCTCTCCCCTCCAGGTGTATATATGTATAACCAGCCATGAGGAAGTTTATTTTCTTTCTGCTGATGACTGTACCTTTGTGACATTCCAGGAGGTTGCCAGGCACACAGATTACAGCCCAGTGTGATCAGCCCACAGTAAACACAGTGGGTTGGGGGTGCTACCAGGAGGGCACCTAACCCAGCCTGCGGGTAGCGGGGGAGGATCAGAGCAGACTTGCTGGAGGCAGTGAAGCTTGAACAAAAATGGGTGTTTTCGGGAAAGACAGCAAGACTTCCTCAACTTCAGGAGTTAAGCCATCCAAATCAGGAAAGGCTGGGTGGCCTGAGGGATGTGCAGAAGTCACTGACTCAAAGGATCAGACCTTCCCAGGCTGAAGGCAGGATGTGTGCATGTGGTGGGTCAGTGACATCACTTTGTGCGAAGAAGCCTAAATGAGGTGAAACAAGATGTGTCTGTATGACCTCCAGCCACAGTCCAGGGAAACCCTCAAACCTGGCAGCTGAGCTTGGAATTTTTCTTGGCTATGTGATATTATCACCTTAAATATAAATGGATGCAGTCTTTTGATGGGTAGTTGGCAGTATTGCTGAGAATTTTAAATGCTCATACCCCTTGATATTGCAGTTCCACTTCCAGAAGTCTCTCCTATAGAAATACTCCCAGAGGTAAGTAAAGAGGTGGGTACAAGGATGTTACTGCAGCCTTACGGGGTCGCTATGAGTCTGAACTGACTCGACGGCAACTGGTTTTTTTTTTTGTCTATAGTGGCAAAAATCAGAAAACAACCTAAGTGTCCAGCAGTAGGTGACTGACAATCATCCTTCTGTGAACTACTCTGTCACTATTAAAAAGAATAAGCTCCGTAATACATTGCTGAATGATAAACAGCAGGTTGCGGAACATCGTGGATACTATAACTATTTTTGAAATATGATTTTAGTTATTAAAAATAATAATTTTAAAAAAAGGGAGCATGGGATGTGTACCAAACTCTCCATAGGAATTACATCCTGGACTGGGATTATGGAACATTTTTATTTTCTGCACTATAGAGTCTAGATCCTTGCAATGTTTAACTTTTTCATAATATACCTTATAAGCAAAAAAAAAAGCAATTTTTAAGAGTTAATTAATTTTATCCCCTCCTTCCCTTGAGCTGCTATGAGTTGGAATCGACTTGATGGCTACAGGTTTGGTTTTCGGTTTTTCCCTTGGGTCCCAGGTACACTATGCCCCCTTCTGGTCATGATATGGCTTCGTGTGTATACATCAAGGACAAAAACCATTCAATTGTGAGTATTTACAATTCCTCGCCCCCTTCTGCCACCTGCCAAGGGAGGGCAGGTCCTGAGGGAGAGCGTTTTGTTTGGCTCAAATGGGTGATGGATGGACATGAACAGGGACAGGGACAAGCTGAGAGACGGGTAGCTGGCTTTACACAGAAGGTGCCTGAAGTCCCTGTGCAAAGACAGTTCTGAAGGAGGAGAAAGCACCGAGGAGGGAGAGATGTGAGCATTGCCCTTAGCAGTGGAACGCTGAGTGGAGGGAAGGATTTGTAAAGGGCACTTTTAGGAAGCTGTGCTATGTAACTCTCTCCTCAGTGTCCTCAAGAGACCTTGAGTAAAGGATTTCAGATTGATGCTCTGAGAAGATGAGACTTAAGGAGAGGGCAGGAAGGTCCAGATTTCTTTCCCAGACTGGGGGTTTCCTCATGAGAAGGGACTGTGCTGCCCAGCCAGAGTGTCTGGTCAGATCTGTAGTTAAAACTCTCCCTATATGACTCAGCTGTCTCCTGGTTTATACGTCAGCCTCTCGTGAGTTGCATCAGTATGAGTCTATCCTGAGAGGTTGCTGATGAAATGGAATTTCTGGTCCTGTAAAACTGAGAACCAAATTCTATAGCAATCCACCCACCAAGATGCTGCCTCCCTCAGTGGTCCTCCCTGGACAGAGATAACATGTTCATTTACTCTTTCATTTAACAAATATCTGTTATGTGCCACGCACTGGGCTACAGGCTAGAAATACAGTGATGCGCATAAACAGATATGAACCCAACCTTCATGCAATTTATAATCTAGGGGAGAGGGAGAGGGAGAGTACAGACATGAATCACATTATGTCACAAATGTAAATAAATGTAAAATTGTGACAGTTATGTTACCGTCACAATCACCAGAGGTTTACCCAGTGCTATGAGAAATGGAGGGTTGTGACTCAGTTAGGGAGAGCTGAAGATGAGTAGGAGATACTGAGGTGAAGAAGGGAGGGAAATATGTTCCAGGCAGCCTTTGCAGAGACTCTGTGGGATAAGGAAACTAAAAGACTGGGGAGGCTTAAGTGGAGAGAGAGGTAGAGTGAGGTGGGATAGGAGACAGGGACGCCAGGACATGAACTCACTTGCATTTTAAGAAGATCACTCTGGCTGCAGTGTGGAGAATGGATCAGAGAGGGGCCAGAGTGGATGAGGGGAAACAATTTAAGAGACTAGTACTCAAAAGTCTTACTCCTGGGTGCACATCCTAGAGGGGACATACAGGAGGGTGTTCATTGTGATGTTGCTGTGGTAGCTGGTACTTGGAGGCAATTTAGAGGTCCATTACCATGGGTCTGAATAAGTAAAATATGGTTTCCCACTACGAAATATTGCACAGTCATTCTAAATAACAGGCTAGGTGCACACACAAGAACGGGTCTTAAAAGCATAGCACTGAGTGGAAAAAGTAAAAACAGAATGAGGTTTACAGCACAATGCCATTTATGTAAATTAAAAATACCCGCACAGTAAACCATGCACATGTTTTACAAGGATACCTATACACACTGTTGGGGGAGGAGGGAGGAGTAGAAAAAGGGGATAAAAGGTTATTAAAACACAGAACGAGAGGGGGCCGTGCAGAGTCCAACGATGATAGTGTGCCATGAAGTGAGAAATAAAAGGAACTCAATCTCTGTACCTGGATTAAAAAATAAAAATCTTTTGCAGTTATTTAGGCAACATCAGAGGCAGCTTGGAATAGCGTGAATGTGGTGGAGAGGAAAAGTGGGTGGATTGTATTATATGAATGAATACATGTAAAGCATTTTCAACAGTGCCTGATACATAGTAAGTGCTCAACAAATGTGAGCAGTTATTGTTATATTGCAGACGCTAAGTGATGGATTGGATATGGTAGGAGAGGAAGAGAGTGATGTCAAGGATCACTCCCAGGTGCCGGCTCCTTCCATTGTGCCGAGTGGGAGGTGAGGAAATGAAAACTGAGGATAGATAATCCTTTTGAGAAAATTTGGATGTAAGGCGGAGAACAGAGCTGTCCCTTTTGTGTGCAACACTCTAAAACACTTTATTTTTTAAAAAATTAACCAAGTAATACATGTTCATTATAGAAAATTAGAAATTAAAGATAAACCAGTTGCTGTCAAGTCAATTCTGACTCATAGCGACCCCATGTGTTTCAGAGTAGAACTATGCTCCATAGAGTTTCCAATGGCTGTGATCTTTCGGAAGCAGATCATCAGGACTTTCTTCTGCAATGCGGCTGGGTGTATCCAACCTTTCAGTTAACTAGCGAAGTGCTTAACCATTTGTGCCACCCAGGGGCTAGAAATTAAAGTTACATTGAAAAAAATACAATTCAAAACATTCTCTGATGGTTATGAGGGTGGGTAGGGAGGGAGAGGGGAATTCACTAACTAGATAAACCAAAAAAAACTTTGCCATCGAGTCGATTCCGACTCATAGCGACCCTATAGGACACAGTAGAACTGCCCCCATAGGGTCTCCAAGGAGTGCCCGGTGGATTCGAACGGCTGACCTTTTGGTTAGCAGCCAAACCCTTAACTACTAGAAGACAAGAATCATCTTAGGTGAAGGGAAGGACAACACACAACACAGGGGAAGTCAGCACAACTGGGCGAAACCAAAAGCTAAGAAGTTTCCTCAACACAGTTTAGACTGGACTATAAGACATAAAATTATACTCGTGAAGAGTGTGCTTCTCAGCTCAAGTAGATGCACGAGACTCAACGGGCAGCTGCTGTCCGGAGGCGACATGAGAAGACAGAAAGGGACAGGAGCTGGTTGAATGGACACAGGAGATTCATAGTGGAAAGGAGGAGTGTGCTGTCACATTATAGGGAGAGAAACTAGGGTCACATAACAATGTGCATAAATTTTTGTATGAGAAACTAACTCGAGATGTAAACTTTCACCTAAAGCACAACAAAAATAAAAAGAAATGTCACACACACACACACACACACACACACACACACACACACACGCTATATATATATACATATACATATATACAATTGTGAGCCCCAAATCTCTCCTGATGAGTAACTGGGGGTCAATATTTAATCTTTAGGAGAGAGAGCTCCTCAGATCTTTACAAACACAAAATTTGCAAAATCCCTGCTAGCATAACCTTCACAAAATGTAGAATATAGAACTGAGACTGGTTGGATGCCATTTATTGAGATACAGACTATAGGAAGAAAGCTTGGTGGAGGAAAATGATGAGTTAAGTTTTGGGCTGAAACAGCTGCAGAGCTGAAGTCTGAGATTCTCTAATGACCAGAAAAATATTTATTGAGGGCCTATTACGTGCCAGGCACTGTGCTAGGTCCTGGGAACACATAGGTAAGAAATGATCCTGACCTCACAGAGCCTGCAAGTCCATCAAACAATCAAATATATATATTAAACTTTGGTAGGGGTTATGTAAGAAATTACAAGATACTATGATATCCTTTGATAAAAACCTTTGTAGCTAAATGTTTGCCCATATCCTTAATACTTTCCTGGGGAGAATTCCCTGAAAGTGTGTTTTCTGGATCTAAAGATATGCCCATTTATATATATACTTAAATACAGGCATTTGGGAATTGGGAGGGGACACTGAAAACACACAAGGACCCTGGTTTATTAAATTAAGCTTCAGCTGAAGAATTGGGAACACTGCCAAAGTAAAAACTACATTTCCCAAGGGACAGCACGGCACGTCACAAAAGGAGGGACCACGCACGCGCACGGGGGTCCTCTCGCTGCGCCTCGGCTCATGAGAGAGGAAAGCGCGTGTAGGTCTTGACGTGCCACTAATCTTCGAACGCAAGTGCGTTACCTTCCGCGGGCTCTGAAAAGGAGTTCGAGGGACGCGCCTATTTCCCGCTGTCGCAATTTCCAGCGCGACGTGCCTGTTTCGTCCGTGACACGGTAGGTGGGATGGGTCGCCGTCTGGGACCTCCGGCGAACCGCGGGCGGGAAGAACTGGTATCCCTCTTCGCCCCGCCGAGGCTGTGCTGACAGCAATGCGCACGCGCCTTGTGTGGGGAGGGGCGGGGTCGGGGGGAGGTGCACTTGGCTCTTCTTTGGGTCTGCGCGTGCGCCCTGTTGCCCCCGGAGCAAGGGTGGGAAACGGTGGGTTTGGAGCTTCGCGAGGGCGCTGCGTGGCGCCCGGAAGAGGGGCGAAGTGTGGCCTGGAGGTAGGGTGTTCAGCCCAGATGTGAGAAATACTGAGGATGGGCTCCGAACTCCAGCAGTTTTTATAATTTTCTCAAAATATGGCCATCTTAACAATAATAACCTCATCCACTTTACAGATACCTCCAATTATTTCATTTGCGTGCTCCCCTTTGCAGCCGAAGTAATTGGTCTATACTCACTAGCACTTCTCCAGTCAGGCTTTGCCCCCCTGCTGTCCTACAGGGTTGCAGTGAGTTGAAATCGACTCTGTGGCAGCGGGTTTTTGACCCCACTGAAACAGCTCTTATCAAAGCCACCAGTGACCCCTGGTTAGCCAGATTCTGTATTAAGTTAGTTCTCAATACTGCAGCATTATTTGATGCAGTTGACTACTGCCCCTTCTTGAAACCCTTTCTTCGTTTGGCTTCTGGAACATTCTCTTAGCCTCGGCGCTCTCTGACCTCGATTCTCTCCTCTGCTGTGTTTGCCTCATTCACTACTGTATATCCTTCATGCCTGGCATAGAGTAGGTGCTTGATAAATATTACTGAAAGAATGAAGAGGGGAAGTACCTCTTCTCTACAAGTGGGAAATAAAGAATCCCTCTTAGACTGTGTTGGTAATGACTGATTTTTCTCTGTTTTCCTTAGACCGGGGGAGATGATGTTGAATAGCTCATCTTCAGAACTGTTACAGTATTCCTAAGACTGTTTTAAGGGGTTTCCAGGATTCTGTTCAGTTGAACAATCCATTTTGTCAGGCCCTGGGCTAGGTACTGGAATATAAAGATGAACAAAACTCCATTCTTCTGCTATAAGAGCTCAGGAGAGGTCTGGTGGGAGAGACAAGACCTTTCCAACAAACCTTATTTGGGATGGAGGTTGGAGGACTGGAATTGTTCAATGCAGCTTTTGTAGATAGGGTTAGTTGGATTGTTGGAGAGCTGCTGTCTAGGGTGTGAAGCAATATTTGGACGGTGTTAGTAAACCAGAGCATCCATTTTATGAATACCTGGCTCAACCACTAGACACCCTGTTCTTAGTGGGTAGAACCATGGGAGTCCATAGTTATTGCAACCATCTTTCTGGAGCTAGAAGTGGGAACATGTGGTAAGGCAAAGGCTTTATTTTTTTTCTTTCTGATTTTTAAATGTATGTGCAAAGATTCTTACAAAGCTTTTACAAATTAATCTCAGTTAAAATTTTGATGAATCATCCACATTGGAAAAAATACCTAAGTTATGTCACTTCAGGATTTGTGGTCACTGTATCTGTGGAGTAGAAGTTAGTTTGGTGAACACGAAACTAAAGGGAGTTGGGTGTTAAGGATACAGAGGAGTCTCTGAGTCCTTAAGTTCAGGTTCTAGAGCTTGGTTCTAGAATGGGTTTGCATCCAACCTTTGCCATTTATTAGTTGCTTGACCTTAGTAAAGTTTCTCTAATACTTAAGTTTCTACAAGTACTAAATTAATATTATCTACATAGCAGTGTTGGGAGGATTAAGTAGGCTAATTTACATAAAATTTACATATGATACTTAAAAAAAAAAACAAGGCCTTTACAGTCCAGTCTATTCCAACTCACAGCGACCCTATAGGACACAGTAGAACTGTGTCATAAGGTTTCCAAGGCTGTAAATCTTTATGGAAGCAGACTACCACATCTTTCTCCTGTGGAGTGGCTGGTGGATTTGAACCGCTGACCTTTCAGTTAGCAGCTGAGTGCTTTAACCACTGTGTCACCCTGGCTGCTTAGTAAGAATTAGCTGTCATTATTACCTTGATTTTCTTACTACTTTTGTTTCAGATGCCACAGTGGCCACCACCTTACTGGTGATACTTGCTGTAATCTATCAGTGTAATCATAAAAACCTAACAAGTAATTGACAGTTTACAGTAGACAAAATGCTTCTACTTCCGTGATCTCTTTTACTATTGAATATGCTGAAATTTTGACATAACTTGCAATTAGTTGGAAGAGCATAGATTTTTTAGAGTTTGCAGCTTTGCATTCCAATTCCAGCTCAACTGCCTGTATTTCCCAGCTGGACTGCCTAGCATAATTTAACCTCTCTAACTTCAGTTTTCCCCAGCTATAAAGAGGACATGCTGGTATCTAGCTATCTTATAGGATTGCAGTAAGATTTAAATGAGAGGCACTGTGTAAGCTCCAGTACAGAGGCATGGCAGGTACTAGGTATTAAAAAAAAAAAAGGCATTTTCACTTCTTTTTTTTTTAAACAGTTGATGAATGTGGATTCTCATTGATAGTGACTGGACTGAGAGCGGGAAATCTGAGTGTAGAGTTTTAGGTGCCTTTTCTCTTTTGACTCAGGACGAGGGCTCCGTGTTGTCACAAGCCTCATGGGATTAATTTTAGAGTGGTTTACGTATTGGATGTTTGGATTTGTTTATATGATGCCTTGGCTACTAGTAGACAGATGGTCACTTTGGAGCCAGAGAACAGTTTTAGGCTGGTGTTTAGCAATTAATATGTGCAGCCTTTGACCTAAGAATAACCTGTATCTTTTGTCCCTAAGAATAACCTCTTCAGACTCTGCCATTGAAAGTTCTTGTTATTGGTCAAGCCTATTACATGCGGGTAATAAGAAGCTAACCCAAACTAGCCTAACCAGAAAAGAGGTATTTATTGACTCTAACTAAAAAGTTAGGGGCATTGGTGGTAGAATTCTCACCTTCCACATGAGGCTAGGTTCGATTCCCAGCGAATGCACCTCATGCACAGTCACTACCTGTCTGTCAGGGGAGGCTTGTGTGTTGTTATGATGCTAAACAGGTTTCAGTGGAGCTTCCAGTCTAGGAAGAAAGGCCTGACAATCTGCTTCCAAAAATCAGCCTATGAAAACTGTATGGATCACAACAGTCCAGTCCACAACTGATCATGGGTATGGTGCAGGACTGGGCAACATTTTGTTCCATTCCATTGTACATAGGGTCTCCCCGAGTCAGGGTCCAACTTGACGTCAGCCAGCAACAGCTGAAGAGTCCTGGAGTACCAGCTGGAGGCATGGCTGTATCCAGAAACCTAAATTATGTCACCAGTATTTTCTGTCTTGCATCTCAGCTTTTTACCATGCTGGTTTTTCTCTCAGGCAGGCTTTCCACATTGGGGCCTCCAGCAGTTCCAGGTTCCTGTGCTACCCTGTTAACCAACTGAAAGAGGGTGCCTCTTTGCACATATCTCCAGCAAAAGAGATGAAATTGAGTTTGATTGGGCAGGCTTGGGTCACATATCTCTTTCTGAACCAGTCATGGTGGTAAGAGAAAATGTAATACTGGACAAATGAAATAAAGCCACAATGAAATACCACTTCACAATGACTAGGATGGCTAAAATTTTTTAAAAAATATATGACACCACCCTGTGTGGACAAGGATGTAGAGCAACTAGAACTTTCATACATTGTTGGCAGGAGTGTAAAATGATACAACTACACTGAAAAAAGATCTGGTCTGGCAGTTTCTTAGAAAATTAGATACACCTTGGACCTAGTTATTTGCTGTCAAGTTGATTCCGACTCATACCGACCCTATAGGACAGAGTAAAACTGCCCCATAGGGTTTCCAAGGAGTGGCTGGGAGATTTGAACTGCCAACCTTTTGGTTAGTGGCTGAGCTCTTAACCACTGTGCCACCAGGGCTCCCCTAGGTGTTCACTCCTAGGTAAATAGTCTTAGGTGTTTACTTAAAAGTGAGCATATGTCTGCAAAAAGACTAAAGGTAATAGCAGTTTTATTCATAATGGCCAATAATTGGAAACTGCCGAGATGCCATCAACAGAGTATGTTCATAATAGAATGCTACTTAGCAGTAAAAAGGAATGAATTATTGATACACACAACATGAATGAATCTCAAAAAGCATGCCAAGTGAAAGAATCCAGACACAAAAGAATATATATTGCTTAATTATATGAAGTTCTTAAATAGGTGTAACTAATCCATATTGAAAAATATCAGCAGTGGTTCCTTCTGTGGGTGGAATAGAAGATGTTGCCTTCTAAGTGACAGTGGGAAAAAAGAGAGTGCTAGGAGATAAAAAGATTAGGGCCCTGGACCTTGCCTCAGAATTAGTAAAATTCAGCAAATTTTCTTGCAGAAATGGTTTGAAACAGTTTTGTTTATAGCATGAGAATAGTGGTAGGATCAGCTGGGACTGCTGGACTCATAAAATGGCAACTTGGCCCTTAAGTTCAGTCTCTTCCCGGCTGAGAGATGCCAGGCCTTTCAGGTTCCAATCTCCAGTGCTTGCTTTACACCAGCAGGCTTTGGTGTTCTTGGAGTGGAGAGTCACAGAAACCTTTGCCTCTACTTAGGATATATTTTATGGGGGAAATTCAGGTCCATGACTGACTGGATCCTGAAGTAGTAGTAACTTGTAAAATCATAAAATGAGGTGGTTCTGCTCAAACAGGAGAGAACCCTTCAATGCCATGGTCTTCAGGTAGTCCATCATCTCAGGGTGACTCCTCCAGGCTTGGGATGCATCTGTGTTTTCTTTTCTTGTGCTTTAGACTGCTTTGCTCAACTTAACGCAGTTCTCGTCTCTCTTTCTGGCAGACTCCTGGCCCATATCTCCTACAGATGAGGAGGGCAACTAATATTCACTAAGTACATGTACTCTGCCAGGCAATGACTAAGATCTTACTTGCATATTTAATCTTCACAGTAACCTTTCCAAGTAGGTGTGCTGGTTTTTATTTTTTGAGCGTCAGAGAGGTTGAGTACTTACC